TTAACTGCTCGTAATAGCCTTGCCTGGACTGCAGCAGTGCGCTGGAGGCAGCAGCTCTGGTAGCACAGACTCACCCAAGAGGCATTTTTGAAAAATGAACCGTTCTGTACTCGTCTTTGGACCAGAAAATTAAATCACAGAAGCACCAAAAGGCACTGTTCAAGTTGAGTCTCACCATGTTGGGATTATCAGTGTTACCAGCACCAAACCACACCAGGCCAAACAGAGGGGTTTGGGCTGTTGCTTCCCCATCAAGGAGTAATTTTCCAGTTATCTCCACTGGGAAGTGCCCCAGACAAGGGTAATGCTCTCAGAGGGGTTATCTTATAAAGTACAAAAACAAAACAATACCACAGACCCAGGTCTGACATACCTAACCCCACTACAGCTATTTTAATAACCTTGGCTCAAAGTTTCTCTTCTACCACAGACCTCACTGACATCAAGAGCTACAAAGCTACGAGCCCTCAATCTCCAGTTCTGGCCCGGCTGTGACAGATCTCCTCCCACATCCCTGCACACACCTTGCCCCAGGCTGATGCAGAGAGGCTGGACAGGCAGCTGCCATGTCACACCATGTCCCACTGCACTCCTCCAGCACCACCAAAGAGATCCAGGGCCCCATAGCACGGGGTATGGAATCTCTTTGGACAGGAGAAAGGACACTGAGGCACTGTGGTGACACAGGTCTGGTAGGACAACCGTGGTCCTTGATAAACCCCAGAGCTTTTTCAGTCCTGAGCTTCACCTTGCACACCCTTTCCAGGGAACCTGATATGCCTGACAGAAGTCAAAAGAGAACAAATTATGGTCAGTTTTGGACACAAAGCTTCAAAACATCTCCAGGTGAGAGTTAAGAATTAACAGGGAAAGAAAAGAGGAGGAAATCTGAGCAGCTGCTTCATCATGATTGCTGGTGAATCCCAAGTAGTGAGAATGGAGAACTATAAAAGCTACATCTTAAAAAACTATATATAGTTTACAGTTTCCTATAAACTACATGATTTAAATTTCTATCTGAGCTCACACTGGAAACACAGGAGAGATCAGACAGAACAGTTTGGAAGGGACTGTGAGGAGCACTGGAGGGCAGGAGCTCTCCCACAGTCCAGTAATGACCGCCCACAGGGAATGCTGCAGCACCAAGGACCCCGCTCAGAGCCCTGGAACCACAGAGCCTCCTCCTCCTCCTCCTCCTTCGGTCAGAACTCATCCCTCAGCCTCGGTGGGTGGTCCATGCCAAAAAACGAGGAGGGTTTCCCATGGATGTCACGTTCTCTTTTCACAAAGGCAGTGAAGGAAGAGACACAGTTCCCGATGAAGTGGTCGGACTGGCCAAGGATGTAGAGATCAATCTGAGGCACTTCTGGCTGCAAGCTGACAACCTTGAGCTGCAGAGAAATGAGGAGAGCAGATGAATCCAGTCAGCTATTATCACAATCCAGTGTCTTGGCATAATATTAGAAATGGAATACACAACAGAAAGAGAGTGAGTTTTGTCTTTCTCTGCCCTATAACTCATTTATGATTAGATCAATGTCAGAGCATTTCTGAAAATCACTTAGGTTTATTTAATTTAAACCCTTTTCATGGAAATATTTACTACCATGCCAGGCAATACTCTTCAATCTCCAGGAAAAAAAAAAACGAATTTTACAGGATAATTTTTATTGCTATGAGCCAAATTCACTTTGAGATGCCAATATTTGGCTGTGAATAACCTATTCCACAACTGCCTGTCTGCTCTCTATGACAGCCTTGGGCCAGAAGCCAAGGAAGGTTTTTATCCAAGGACTCCTGCCAGAAGAGGTTTCTGGAAGACTCACCTTTTCCTGGAAGAATTGCTGTATTTCCGTTGTGTAGGGCTCGGAATCAGTAGCAATATAAACAGATTTAGCTTCAATCTTTGCCACCCAGAGCTTGAGAGCCCGTTTGATCTCGCGGAGGTCTGGCAGGCACATGTCCATGGTGAGAGGCACCGCAGCACTGCGGTCGTAGCCCACGCACTGCGGTGAAGCCATGAAGTGCGGCCCGGCCGTCCCGTCCTTCAACATGTTGCAGGCATTTTTCTGTTGGAAGAGGAAAAGACAATCGCAGAATCATCAAAGTTGAAGATCTCTGAGATTATCAAGTCCAAACTTTGAACAGATACCCCATGCCCACTAAACCTTATTAGAAAACGCCACCTGTACTTGTGTTCTGGACACTTCCAGGAATGGCAATTCCACCACAGCTCTGGGCAGGCTGGGACAGTGCTCAATCATTCATTCAGTGAAGAATTTTTCTCTAATATTCAACCTGAACCTCCCCTGGCACAACCCGAGGCCATTTCCCTTTATCCTGTCACTGGCAGGAGAGGCTGAACCCCACCTCACCACAAACTTTTTTCGGTTTTTTTCGCACCACATTCAAGTGAGAAAACATCACCACGTCCCCCACCTCTGCCTGTTTGAAAGAATCCCAGCACCACTGCTAACACACAGGGAGCTCCTGGATGCCAGCAGGGATCAGGTGGCTCTCCCAGCACAGCTCCTTTTTGAGCAGCTTTGTCCACACCCCACTGCACCGTACCCAGTCGGAGCCGATCCTCAGGTGAATTCCGACGTAGGGCCGGAGCAGCAGGGACTGGATGTAGGCTTCTCCCTTCTTCACCATGGCATCCGACCACTCCATGTACTTCTGCAGGGGCCGGTGCTCCTCCAGGACAGGAAACTGGGCTGGAGCTCCAGGTAAGGCGAGAACAGGGTGCTCAGAGGCTGGAAACCTACAGAAAACCAAACGCAGCAGTCTGAAACGTGATTAACCTGCACGAAGGCTGCTGTGAAGGTTAGAGTAGAACCCAGGAACGCCCCAAAAAATGCAGCTTTTATGGCTCCAAATTGAGATAATTTTAGCTGTTTTGCCATCTGAACTGAAGAAATCTCAGGGTCTGTATTTTACCTCAGACCTTTTATCTGACAGACAATCAGAGAAGAACCTCAAACGTGCAGTGAGGAGCTAGCAAGCAATGGGATGTTACATTTTCACCCCAGACCAGACCAATTCTGTCACCCAAACTTACTGATAACCACTAAAGTCACTCATGGCTCTGAAAACACAAGATAAGCAGCAAAATACAGTTCATAATCCCAAACTGAGAACCAAATTCTTTCTGATGATTAATTACATATTTAATGAATACTTGATAAATTAAATATTCCTGGCTCAGAAGTCAATCAGCCTAACACTTCATACTTAAAACAATGCCCACATAAAGTGCTCAGCAAATATTTAATAGAAAAAGAATTAATATTTTTAACTATATTACTAACTAACCACTTCAATCTCTCCCCCAAAATGTAAAGTCACAACACACAGTCACAGCTGCTCTCATGAGTGACTCTAAACGCCCACAGTGACCTGCCAGCGCTCTTGCATCTTATTGCTACCTTTGGATCCAATGGTCCTTGTATGCAGGACTGAAGGAAATTCCCTTGAAGAGCTCAGACTTATCAAAATCCACTTGGAACTGATCCCAGAAGGGACCAAACGGATTTCCATCCTGCAAAGAAAAGACGAGTGTTCATTTAGTGCACAGACAGAGCCTGAAAGATGGATGTAGCAAGATCTTGAGGTGCAAAGCAGGAGCCTGTTCCAGGATGGAAGCAGCTGGAATACAACAGCCTGTCTGACACACCAGCTCCAGAGGAAGGAGACAGTGAATACATTAAGGGAAGTTCACTGAGAGTGTTGCAAAGGTTGTCTTAAGAACAAGGACACCACAGCTTTCAAACTTGTAGTTAAGAGAAGTTGCTTTACACCAGCTGGAAAACAGAGAGCAGGAGATAAGCTACAGTCACAATTAAATCTCAGGTGATAAAACTACTTGCACAGACCGCATCCCCAAGCACTTGCAGACAAAGAAAACTGACGATGGCACAGCAGCCACTCCACAAGCGGTGAAAGCAATGCCACACAGACCGATTCGCGGTGGGTAACTCCTAAATTTGCGAATCAATAGCGACCTGAACGAGTCCGCGGCAGCCTTGGGAATAAAGCCGTGCCCGCGGGGCTGAGGAGGAGCTCACCTTCATGGGACACGTGCTTTTGTCCGCGCTCCTCTGGGCAGCAGCCTCGAAGCAATAGGCCACCCTGCTGCCGGGCGGCCAGTGCCGGGGCGCCAGCTGCTCCATGAACCGCTCCAGGCTGATCACGCGGTGGAAGCGCCGCAGCGGCTCCAGCCTGAAGTGCTCCGAGTAGGGGACGTGCAGCTGCGGGGGAGCAGAGCCCTGAGCCGGGGCTCCCCTTACCGGGGCCCGCAGCTCGTCCCCGGGCAGCTCCCAGCCCGGCCCGCCGCGCCCCCGCTCCCTCCCGCCGCCCGGGGCTCACGTTGGTGTAGGGCGGGCGGTGGTGCCGGTACTCGATCCAGGGCGGCACGGCCAGGGTCCGGTTGAGGGCGCGGGCGAAGGCCAGGGCGCCCAGGAAGTGTTCGGCTTGGTTACCGAAGCGGCCTGAGGGAGACGGGGCTCAGTCAGGCGGGGCACCGACCGGGGGATGCAGCGGGGCACCGACCGGGGAATACAGTGGGGAACGGAGCGGGGGATGCAGCGGGGCACCGACCGGGGGATGCAACGCGGCACCGACCGGGGAATACAGTGGGGAACGGAGCGGGGAATGCAGCGGGGAAGGGAACGCGGACCGCGCCGGGGGATGAACCGGCGTCTGCAGCACCGGGGTCTGCAGCGGGGGATGCAACCGGGAGATGTACAGGGGGCCTACACCGCGAAAGCCTCACCCATGCAGGGACAGTAGAGCAGGTACCCGGCCTCGTCCCAGGCGGGTGCCGCGCCGCCTCCCGCCGCCATCCCCGGGAGGAGCAGGAGGAGGACGAGGAGCACCGGGCCCGGCGGCACCGCCATGGCGGCTCGTCGGCGAGCGGAGCCCGGCGCCGCCATCCCGGCATGCCCCGCGGCGCGCCGCTCTGGCGGCCACCACCGAGGCGTGACGTCACTCCCACAAGGCCCCGCGCAATGGCGCCGCCGGGGCCGGGAGCGGAGCCGCGCTTGGCGGGGCCCGGGGGAACGGGGTGAGCGCGGGGGGGCGAGGGAGGGGGGCGGCACCGCAGCGAGGGGCGGTGGCACGGCCGTACCCTCCCCTCGGTGGCGGGGTCCCCTCAGGGGACAGGGGGGCGTGTGAGGAGGAGGAGGAGGAGGATGCGGGGCGGAGGGGGGGGCGTAGGCCGGGCCCGCCTCCCTCCCCTCAGGGCTGCGGGGCGGGGGTGGGATGTGTGATCCCGCTCCTCCGGGGCTGCATTATCCACGGAGCGCTCCCGGGGGTGGGGGTCTCCCGGTTGGCTTTCGAGGTAAACGGCGGAGGTGCCGGAGGGAGGAGCGAGTTGCCCCTCGCGGCCACCCCCCGGCACCTCCGCCGTTTGCAAGGCGGTTGCAACAGCACCTCTGAATTCCCTAAAATTCCAGTTTTGCACCTGACTGTTAAAAACATCAACATTCAAACTCTTATCTTCTTCCAGGTAGCTTTGAAACTGGCCCAGATGGCCAGGCTTTTTCGGAGGGAAAGGAGCAGTTCCCTGGTGAAAGTGGTGGAGACTCTCGGGACACCTGCACAGCTCTGGAGCAAGAGGTAGAGAACACTCATATTTTCTGGGACATATTTCATAGAGAGGTGAAATAGTCATGTTTTTAGCACCCAGGAAGACAGATTGCTCTGAGCCACAGGCCTCCTGCACCCTGAGGGCTCAGAGCAGCTGTCACATCACGCTGGTTTGTCCCAAAGTGGCACCTCAGCAGTTCTGGTCCTTTATTGTTCTGCTCTGACCACGTAGATTTAGCCTGCGCAAAACCAAGTTTTGTTCTTAACAGGCATTCCCAAAGCTCACAGTGATATATTTTCTTGGAGTCATCCTGTTTCCCAGTGTTTTCCACCCTGAGGGAACCATCCATGGTGTCTGGGGTGAGGGTGCAGTCACAGTAATTGTTATTTCAGCTCTTCATAACGTTCCTTGAGCACTTTCTTGGGGGTTGGTTTGTTCCCTCGCAGTTGCACATCCTGCCCACAGCTCGCACTCATGTTGATGTGCAGCAGGAAGTTCCTCCTCTGAAGCAATCATGGAGTGAGGGTTTGATGCTATTTTAAGTAGAGTTTCTCAGGCAGCCAAATCGGGTGAAAGAGGTTGGTTTTATTTCAGCTGACCGTTTACCAGTCGAGCTGGCAGTAGAACCCTGTAAAAACCAACACACAGCTCAAGAGCAGCCTAAGAGAGATTCATGTAGAACCTCATCAACATGAAAGCCAGAAGAGTTTACAGGAGGTGTATTTGGTTGAACAGGAAACAGTTTGAGCTTCCATTATTAATATATGAGAGTGTCAAAGAAAAAAAAAGAGTTAAAAATTGCTCATTACAGTAGAAAACTTGCTGATCCAGAGAGGCAGAATCTGCCTCACAATCAAAAGTGAAAATACAATGAGTAATCCCACCCTGAAGAGGAGCAGCATCCGTTGCCTTCCAGAAAAAGGTGTGATGTTGAAGATAATTGAGAGTTTCCTTCCTCAGCCCCGTTCAGCCACATCTGGGGGTTCAGATTGATTTGCTCTGGAGATTGTTTTGCCCAGTGCACCAGGTTGGTAGCAGAAATTATGGGAAAAGAAAATACAAGAGAACCTTGGTTTTTCTGAGAATTTCTGAGAGGGAATTCCATGTAGGCAGAGACCAAGAGCAAGTGAGAATATAAAAAAATGGGATGAGAAATTGTCTGCAAAACACACAGGGTAAGGTATTCAGAGCTACAAATAGACACCTTTTATGATATTTCAGGAGAAAATACATCCAACACGTAACACTGGCTCTTAATAGTGGCAAAAAAAGTAATTCAGAAAAAGTTCAACATAATTTTATTCGGGTAACAGGTTAAGGGGGAAGAGACAAAAAAATATTATTGATTGGAGGTCCCCATGAGTGGGAACAGACATCTTCACATGTTCACTGTGTGCACGGGTGGAGGTGGCAGTATCCTAACACCAGCCTTCTGTGATTTCAGATGAAGAAGTTCTGCTATTAAAGCAGTTTGGTCACAGGGGGCTCCAAGAGAAAACTGCACCGGGACAACATCACAGCGAGACGCCCACAGGCTCGAGTTCTGCTTGACATGGCCATGTTCTACTAGACCTGCCATGACGGCATTTTTTCCCAGTGTTCCCAACTGGATTCAAGATGCAAAGCAGGAGGAGGAAGAGACAGGCTGGAAATTAGTCCCCAGACCAAGAGGTGAAGAAACCGAAAGTCAGGGAAAATGCCAGTGTGAACTATCGGAGCCCTCCTTCCCTCACGTGGACAAGCTGAGAACTCACACGCTTTCCCATTCGGAGCAGAGGCCCTACAACTGCCCCCAGCTGCACTGTGGCAAGGCCTTTGCCTCCAAGTACAAGCTCTACAGGTAGGTATCTGCAAGTGCCTCTGCCCAGCAGTGCCAGGAGAATGGGGAAACCCCCTCCCTCGTGTGTCTTTGCTTGAATTTCTGAGAAGCTGGAGGAGGGGAAATGCCCTTTTACCTTGCAAAGCAGTTGAGTCCCAGATATTACCATACTTGGCATCTCTTTAGGTGCCTTCCAGAGAGCTTCAGCTAATGCTCTATCCTGAGCTCAAGCTGTTTTATGTTTCACTGAGGAGGAAATAGAAACAGAAAGTGAAGTTCACAGATTAAAAAACAAAATGAAAAGCAAGAATAGCGTTTGCATTCATAAGTCCTGCTTCTAACCACAGGGGTAATTCCATGGCAGCTGTTGCTCCAATATGGAGAAGTAGAGTTCCCATTTATGTCGTGAAGTACAACACAAAATAGTTAAACAGTGATGGCTGAGAACTTGAAACCAAGTGAACCACAGTGGGGGAGAGTGTGAGATACCAAGGTGAAATCAGACCACAGTAGCTGTCAGCAGACTTGGGCACAGCCTGACCCTCCCAATGAAGTGTTCTCACCTAGTGTCACAAACTAGGGAGGTTTTCTTTGGCAGCCTCAGCAGAGAGCAGGAGGTGAGGAGAGACAGCTGCTGGGACAGACTGTAGGTTTTGCCTGAAGCGTTGTGCTCCTGTGCTCCTTGTTTAATGGAGGTAAAATGCCATCTGGGATTTTCGTGGCCTAAAGTGTAGGACACAAGGAAAATTTTGGAGAACTAGCGTGTGTTCCCTCAGAGGCTGGATGTTTGTCTGACCTTTCCTACTTTTCTCCCCTAAGGCATATGGCCACACACTCTGCTCAGAAACCCCACCAGTGCATGTACTGCGAGAAGATGTTCCACCGGAAGGATCACCTTCGGAACCACCTGCAGACCCACGATCCCAACAAGGAGGCCCTGCACTGTCCCGAGTGCGGCAAGAACTACAACACCAAGCTGGGCTTCAGGCGACACCTGGCCATGCACGCGGCTGCCAGCGGTGACCTCAGCTGCAAGGTGTGCCTCCAGACCTTTGAGAGCACCCAGGTCCTGCTGGAGCACCTCAAAGCTCATTCCAGGCGGGCTTCTGGCGGGGCAAAGGAGAAGAAGCACCCGTGTGACCACTGCGACCGGCGCTTCTACACCCGCAAGGACGTGCGGAGACACCTGGTAGTGCACACGGGGCGGAAGGACTTCCTGTGCCAGTACTGTGCTCAGAGGTTTGGGAGGAAGGACCACCTGACCAGGCACATGAAGAAAAGCCACTCCCAGGAACTGCTGAAGATTAAGACGGAGCCAGTGGACATGTTGGGTCTGCTCAGCTGCAGCTCCTCTGTGGCAGTGAAGGAAGAGCTGAGTCCTGTCCTGTGTATGGCATCCAGAGACATGATGGGTGGTAAGAGCTTCCCTGGCATGCTGCCCGTGGGCATGTACAGCACACATCTCCAAACCATGCCAAGCTCAGGGATGCCCCATTCTTTGGTTCCTAATTCTCTTCCAATGGGAATGAGCTATCCTCTGGAGTCTTCTTCTCCCATCTCCTCCCCACCGCAACCTCCTCCAAAGTATCAGCTTGGATCTACCTCATATTTGCCTGAGAAACTACCCAAAGTAGAGGTGGACAGCTTTTTGTCAGACTTCCCTGGCAGTCTGTCTCTCTCATCTGGTGATCCTCAGTCCTCTTCGCCTCAGCCACCCGCCCTGGATGAGGCTTTGCTTTCCAAGAGCCCTGCTAACCTCTCAGAGGCTCTCTGTGCTGCTAACATGGACTTTTCTCATCTTCTTGGCTTCCTTCCCCTAAATCTTCCTCCTTGCAATCCACCTGTCTCATCGGGGGGATTGGTCATGGGCTACTCGCAGGGGGAGGCGCAGCCACTGCTCACCACTTTGCAACATCAACCTCAAGAGTCTCCCGGAGCCGGGGCCTCGCTGAACTTTGGGCCCCTTCATTCGTTGCCCCCCGTCTTCACTTCCAGCTTGAGCACAACCACGCTGCCACGGTTCCACCAGGCCTTCCAATAAGCTGGAAATAGCACTGGAGAACAGATCTTTCAGTCACCCTTTTGTGGAGAGCCTTAAAAACGCACAACTCTTCCTTCCTTGGGGGTGTGAAAGCTCTGGCAGAGCTGGGTCAGACAGGAGGTTTCTGATCTCGGAGGGAGCACTTGTAGACTGGAACCCGTGCAAGTCCCAGTCCTGTACAGCAGAAAGATTTCAGCTGATAGACTGGATATATTTTATGTAATTTTTAATCTGTGAATCAGGAGCCACGCTTAGCACTGACCTTCCCTGAGAATGCTGGAGCTGTATTCCTCTCTGGGAAGGGACTGTCCCTCAGAAGGAGTTGAGACTCTTTCATCCTGGGCTAAACTTTTGAAGAGTCCAGCTTCCATTTCATGTTACCACACTGCAATTCTGGCAAACCAGCCAACACCTCCACATGGAGAAGAAGTCAAGATACCGCTCTGTATGAAGCCAATGGGGAAGAGGCTGTCCTTCCCTGCTACCTCTCATCCCATCACCCAACACAGCTTACTCCACATCAGTGTTAAGCAACAAGCCCGTTTACATAATGAATTCAACGTCACCTCTTTGGAGCTGTTAGGATAAACTCGTTATGGTGAACATTGTTTACACAACACAAATCTGTTTCTGCCATTGCAAAAATAGGAGACACCAGAATACACTGGGTTCATCTCTGGTGTGGCTAGAACACTGTTTACACAACGAAGTCAGGTTGCACTGATTTCTCTTCACTTATCATGTTCTTCCCCCATGGGGAAATACACTGCTTTTGGACCACTTCAGCCTCTGCCCCTGTAGGCAGCAGCTTCCTGCCTTTTCTCGCTGGCTATCCTGAGTGAAGGGGATGGAGCAGCTCTCACAGCTTAGCTTGGTGTGTGGTGTATGGACAGAGCCCTTTTCAATATCTCCCCCAGGCAAACAGGTCTGGAAACCAAAGCACGTGAGAGAGCTGGGTGAGGAGCTGGGGACATCGAGCACTGGCGTACCAGGCGTGGCTGAGAACAGGCTGCAGGCCCTGCTCCATAGCTTCCCTTGGGATGAGGAACAGAGTATGGGTTTCTGGGGTTTGGGGTTTTTTAACCACTCATTGAGGTCAGCACCCTTTTTGGCTTATCCAGGAAGGAGTCTCAAAGGTGTATTTTAACCTCAATGGTGATAAAATCCAACAGTCAAGGAAAAATTGGTCCCAGCTTCATGTACACACTGTCAGTGTATTTGAAGCATTTTTCCCAACACCAGTAGTTCTAAAAAATGCTGAGGTTTGGGGCCTGCAGTAAACTTTTTACTTTGGGTTTGGTTCCACTGGCCTTTTTTGTTCTCTCCTGCTCAAGCCTTGCCTCCTGAAATTAAAGTCCTGCTTCCCTTGCTCCCTGCCCTACCTCTTCAACTCTTCCATGGGTTGTCTACCTACCAGGGCAGAAGGGTTATACTGGGAAGTGGCAGCCAGCTGCTGGTGTCATTTAGCACCTGTATTGTCTCCTGCTCTTGTTTTCCTGGGCACTTAGACTGCAGATGGGGACATGTGGAGGTCACTCTGCACTGGTGCATGTTTATGGCTAAGGACAGGCAGATCTTCATACCTCAGCATGGAGGAACCATTGTAGGCCAATATAAACCAGGAAATCTGTCAATACTGTTCTCCATAAATCTAGGAAATGCAAAATCTACCTCTACTCTGTTATCTCAGCTCCTTGGGTGAAGCCAGATGCTGTCCTCCCTTGTCTCCCCAGAGCACATCCACCTCAGTTGATGCAGATTCCTTCCTGCTGAGCCATGATCCCACTGAGTGACAGCAGCTGTGCCTCTTTTGGTCACAGGCTTGTCCCCCTTCCATTTTACTCCAGAATTTTATTTTTAATTTAGCTTAGTAATTCTTCCCAGAATGACTTTTTAGCAATCCATTGATTCTCCAGAACATAGATCAGTTGTTTTAGGTTAGCCAGCAATGCTGCAAATAAGACTTTTGTATCAAAATGTAATATAAGATTTATTTACCTCAGCAATATCCTGTGGCAATGATCTCCCCGAGTTGAATGCAGTACTTTTTCCTTTTCTCCACTGGAAAATGTTGCCTTTCCAAGTCCAACGAGTGCCTTCTTGTTCTCTAACCTAGCAAAGGTAAACAGGGCATTGCAGCCAGTCTGTTTACCAGCATTGAATACCTCAGGCCTGTCTTCTATTGCTTTGCTCTTTGCAAATTAAAGAGTTTCACACTGTTATCAATTATATGCAAGCCTTATCCCTGTCTTCAGTTGAGAGGATTATTATTTTTTCAGAAATAAATGGTCAGAACTGATCACTCACTGCCAGTGAGGATTATCAGATTTATGCAATGCCATCACACGCCTTCTCCCACTGCAGAACATTCAGCTTTTTTGCTTCCTGCCTGCATTGTACTCTGAACAGATGTCATCACTGGAATTCCTTTAGCAGTGGTAGCTAAACTTAGAGCCAGGCATCTTTTTCCTACCAGTAGTCTGTCAAAGAATAAATGGAATTCATTTTGCTATGATTTGCACGTGTGATTTGCTTTCCACAGCTACTTTAACAAGCAGAACTGCAGTAACCTTTGTCAATGCAAGGAAAATCTAACCCAGCAAGGGCAACGTGGTCAGAGACAGCACTGGAGCTGATTCCAGGTGTTTGCACAGGAAAATGGATTCAAAGTTCCTCTACCACAACAGCTTGTAATCTGAAGGTATTTTTCCAATCAGTCTAAAACTAACAAGAGTAATTCCATTTGAAATAGCAAATATGCAATTCACAGAACAAATTACAGTGAACAACTTTTACCTGTTTATAAGAAAATACTTTGAACGTCCAAGCTTACAGCACTTGGGAATCCCAGTTCACTAGGAGATCGGTACCAAGCCCTTAGGCAAGTCAGTGGAAGTCAGCTTGGCCAAGCTCCTGCTGATGCAGCTGGAGGTAAGGGACAAGGGCAACTGGCATGCTGTGAGGGGGGATTGCTGCAGCACAGCCTGCAATCTGTTCTGTGGTATATGTGCAGGGCTTTGTGGCAGCCACTGTGCTGGTTATGTGGTATAAAAAATCATCCCAGAAAGAGTTTGGGTTTGGTTTTTGTTTTAGACCACGAGCTGGGGGCTGCAGGTCCAGGACACAGCTGCGAGTCAGGCAGGCAGAGCCCAGGTAACCATTCCTCTCTGATCCCTCTGTTCCTGGCACACCTGTACCACAAAGATTGCACCAGAGCCCAAGGGCAGCAAGTACAGCACATAATTGTTCAGGAGGATTTAATTGAATAAAGGGATGTTTTAACTGGCTGGCTTGGGGGGGAGGAGGGGGGTCCAAAGCAGTAGGAACAGTGCAGTCAACTAAGACAGAAACCCAGAGACCTCCAGTTAGTAAAAGGACAGGACATGAACTTGCCAGCCCTTATAAATCAGACCCTGGATTCTCAGAAAGCCAAGGACCTAATGCCCCCTAGAAATAAGAACTAACAAATAGCCAAGCCACTCCCTGGCAGCAGAGGGTTAACTCTTGCCCATCCTTCCAGGCTCAGATTGCCAGAACCATGTGAAAGGCTGAAGATCTTTTTTCCCCTTGGGATTAAAGCTCACTCAAAATCCATTTGTAGGAAGGAACCACATGTTAGCTTGCATTTGCTTCCACTGAATTCCACATGACAGAATACCCACACACCATGTTGTGACAGACCCCGTTCTCTGTCTCACAACATTGCTGCTCTTTAGCCTCAGTGTTGAAAAATTGTGTCACTTCAACTGGAATCCTTTTTTCACCTCTGGTAGATTGATGATTTCAGTACTTTTGTTGAGCTCAGCTCTTTGTTCTTTAATTCCTTCCTTGCTGACAGGTGAACAGCAGCTGCTGGGAAGATTTCCTGCAGTTCACTGAAAAAATCCCCTTTTCCTTTCTCTACCATTGCACCACCTTTGCTCTCTGGACAGAACAACCCCACAGAGGCATTTTCTGCTGCCTGCAATTAAAATTCCACAAATAAATCTTCAAAGATGTGCTTCCCATCACCCTACCTTCTTGCTTATCCTCTAATCCCAGTTAGTCAGGCTGACTGAATTCTCCCTCAGGTGCCTATTTTTAGTTAATTGCCTGCCCAAGCCCTGGAGCTATTCTGCCACGGACCAGTGAAGTGGATGAAGGGCTCAAACAGAACCACTTCAGGTTTCCATCCCCATCCAAAATTTGTGTCTTTTCCATAACTTACTTCTTGTATTTTTCCCAGTTCCTAGAGATGAGAGCTGCCACCTGAAGCTGTGAATCCCATCCTGGCTGACCCCTGTGCAGCAGGAGAAGGTGTTTTGGTTTAGCCTGGTCTGCTGGATCTGGGACACCCAGATTTTTTTCACCCCAATCTCCAGCTCTGGCACCTCTCACCCTTTCCATGCCTGTTTACCATAACCTGCCCAGCCATAATGAGCCTGTCTTGGAAAGCAGCTGGAAGGTGCCAGGGAGATGCCATTACCACTGATCCAGCTGCCTTACAGGACCACTATTCCTATGCCCCACCACCTCTCAGGTTCTGTTGTCCCTGCTGCACAATCCATGCACACTCACATTAGGCTCACTTCTGGCTATTCCCAGTGATGGACTTGCTTCCTTCTGGTGAATAACTGGGATCCCCTAAGAATCCTACACATTTCAGCTATTCTTGTGGCTGCAGGTGAGGAGTTTTCTCCTGGGGTACCATCTGCAATCTCTACCTGGAGCCAGCTCTACCTCTTCCCACAGGCCACACACCACTAATCACTTCACACTGGCATGCAAACAGGTTGAGCAAAAACAACTGGTGCTCAGAAATAAGACCAGAAAAGAGATCACATTCTGCTTCTCACAAACCCACACCAGGAGACGAGCTTGGCTTTCCTGTTCAAAGTACATTTTATTGCCATGTGCACAGGTGGGCTGCAGGAGGAGGCTGAAGCACCTTCCTCACTCTGTGCTTGTGCCTGAAGCCAGGTCTGTGTGGTCCTTTCCACCAGTGCCTAAATACCAGCATGGAAATAAGAGCATGCATGACACAGAGGGAGCTTCTCTGTATCAGATCACACTGATAAGGCAAGTTAAAAGCATTGCAAAAGATAACCAGGGAATTTGGAATTAATTTTTTTATTACTATAAATAGGTCAGCTCTTCAGCTGGGGGAAGAATCCCCAACATTGAAGTGTCTTGTTACAAACCAACTATCCCTCACTTTTGTGTCTTTGTTTTGAGCTACTGTGCAAGGGGATAACCAGCTCTATCATGGAATGCAGTGGACTGGGGACAGCTCCAGGGCTGCAGGACAGGGACAGCCTCCAACACCTAGGACAGGCCAGGCTGGCTGAGTGTCCAGGTGAACAGGCCATGGACCTGCCTGCAGCCCTTCTGCAGTCAGTGTCTTGCAAGAAGGTAACACATGAGCTTTGCCCAGAGCCCTCAGAAGCCACTTCAGGGTGCCATGGCAGGCTGCAGAAGCCTGCACGCTGCAGCACATCCCAGAACTTCTGCTAGAAGCCTCTCTGGAGTTTCAGATCTCCTCACCCTACTGAGTGCCTCAGCCTTGATACTTTGTGGAGCTTTCCCACTTTAGTGAGTCCTGATATTTAGGAGCAATTTTTAGAAAGACTGTTTTGTAACATTTGAATCAGTTTTCCTTGAATGAGGATATTGAAGAACACAGAGCTGTCAGCTGATGTACTCTTGAGACCCGGGGTAGCTACAAGAAGGACAAAGAACAACCTGTGGAACCCCTGGGAGCAGCCAAGCTCCAAAACTGTTGCTGGAAGAAAAGCTACCAAGTGGCCTTGGCAGCCACAAGTCATGCCAAGAACCCTCTCCCAGCACAAGCTCTGCCATCTCCCACAGGAGCCCATACACATCTCATTGGAAGGGGAAGGGTTTGGGATCAGCCATGGGAGGGGATGGGAAAGCCACAGTGTCCCTCCCTTCACACTGTCCCTTCTTGTGCTGGTTCTGGACAGGCCCCGTGCCTGACCTCCCTCCCTGCAGCTACAGCTGCCAAAGCCAGAAACTTCCCATTGTTACAGCTCAACTGGTTTTCTAAAAACAAACTTTCTAGCACTTTTACACAGAATGAATAACCTCTTTTAAAGGAGTGTTTTGGGGGCTGTAAACAAGGTTTTAAAATTGTAATTAATTGCCATTAGGAAATGTATGGTTCATCACTAAAATTAGCTCTTGCAAAATGAAGTTCAAATTGAAAGCATCTTTTATAATGAAGTTGTTTATTAAAAGCACTTGGATCTACCCCAGGTGTCTTCATGGAGGGGAGTTCGGGTTGTGGTTGGATGGAGACAGGATAAAATCATAAGGCAGGTCAAAGACACAGTTCCCTACGTGAAGCCACAGAGGTTCTTAAATTTCTGCCAAGCAAAGAATTAGACCCACAAGAAAAAAACCCAGCACCCCACTGGGGAGGCAGTCACAGCAGACACCATTATCCCCTGTCAAGGAGAATAATGTTTGTTAGACAGAAAGTTCTGGTTGCTTGGTTTCACTAAAATTTCCAGCCCATACGGCAGCATTTCAGACAAGTTCAGCCCATTCCCCCTCCCAATAACCCCAGCATGCTCTGCTCCCCACAGGCAGGAGAACCAGGACCAAACCTCAGCTTAAGCTACAACTGGCTGCAGGCACCAGCAGCATTTGAAGATGAAACAGGGCAAAGCACACAGGGCCCTCCTGGGATTCTCCTTCAGAACATGGATTAAAAGCTGACAGCCATGATCAGTGTTAGGTGCTTGTCTAAGAATGATCTAGTTTTCAGTTCTAGTTTTCATTCCTAATTCAGCCACCATTAAACGTGCTCTTTCCTCAGCAGCTTTCCCCTGGCGCTGAGGACTGTGACAGAACAGGAATACACTCATCTGCCAAAAATAAGTACAGTATGGATTGTCCTGATGCTGGAGCTGAAGCTTCCTTTGCCTTTTTAAAGGGAGAAGGGATTATTCTGATGATTTCTGAGTTTTGATTCACATATTTGCCAGCTCTGGTCTCACCCACAGACACTCAGCAGCCCCTGACACTGGACTCTCACCTGGGGGAATCACACCCATTGCTCTGCTGGGCAAACCATCTCAGGAAAAGGGAATTCACTTTGCCTCCCTCAGCCAGCACTCCAGCAGAGGCTCACTGATCTCCTATCACACACCCCTCAGCAGAAACACACAAGCTCTGGGAAGCCAATGGAGCTGGAAGCCAACGCTGAGGGCTCAGCTTCTGCAGCAGCACTCCTCAAACTCCCTTCTGAGCTGTCCTCTCCCCTGTGCTGCTCTAAAGCACTGCCCAGCACTGCCACCCAACAGTTCTGCCGCTCTGCCCATCAGTGCCACACGTCAAACAACGTGTCTCACACCAGCCATGAGCCGCTCAAGTGATCTTACCCAGCAGCACAGCAGCAGCAGATCCAAATGCCTCAACTGGTGGCACAATTACAATATATGGCAGCATTCAGGGCATGCCACACTGGAAGAAACTTAGTTTACTAGGAGAAAAATATTACAAAGAA